CTCACTCACTCACTCACTCACCCACTCACTCACTCACTCACTCACCCACTCACTCACTCACTCACTCACTCACTCACCCACTCATTCACTCACTCACTCACTCACTCACTCACCCACTCACCCACTCATTCACTCACTCACTCACTCACTCACTCACCCACTCACCCACCCACTCACTCACTCACTCACTCACTCACTCACTCACTCACTCACTCACTCACTCACTCACTCACTCACTCACTCACTCACCCACTCACTCACCCACTCACTCCCCCACTCACTCACCCACTCGCCCACTCACTCACTCACTCACTCACTCACTCACTCACTCACTCACTCACTCACTCACCCACTCACTCACCCACTCACTCACTCACTCACTCACTCACTCACTCACTCACCCACTCACTCACCCACTCACTAAACCTGTGCTCTACCTCTTCCAAAACTCAAGGCTCCGTTGTTTTCATTCCATAAAAGGCTTTGCGAGCTTCGAAACCCCACAGTCCAAAGTTGTTATTGTCGTGAAGAACCTCGTAAGGGGGGTATAAACAAACATTATATGTGTAAAGACAAGCCATCAGCCATGAAGGCTGATGGAAAGATGTAGAGGCTTCGTAAGTGGGCACTTTAAGTGTTGGGATGGATCCTGGCGCCCTTAGTTCTTTTGCCACAAGGACAGAGTTACGACTCAAGCTTGTGATAAGCCTAATTTCCCCGTGGAGCAGCTTGGCGTGGAATATGATCTGTTATCGTATTTGGGGGGGGGGAGAGGGGGTGATGGGGGGGGCCTAGACCCACGGGAGGTGAGTTTCTGGAGGGGGGGGGGGGACTCACCCCCCCCCCCTTTTACTTTTCATTCTTCTCATTTTGATTTGCTTTCATTGCCATATATCTCTCTTTATTCTCCTTGTGTATCTTTCCATTCAGTTACCTCATTTTCTCTTACCTCTTCTCTCTCTCTCTCTCTCTCTCTCTCTCTCTCTCTCTCTCTCTCTCTCTCTCTCTCTCTCTCTCTCTCTCTCTCTCTCTCTCTCTCTCTCTCTCTCTCTCTCTCTCCTTTTTGTTTTCCCATCATTTGCTTATGTTCTATTAACCTTTACATGTGTCATTGTCATTTCCTCTGTTTTTTTTTTGCACGTAATTCTCCTATTCCTCTGGAAAAATACGTCCTGGGCCCTTGATAACGGTCCAGGCCGGACAGAAAAGCTGTCACTGACCTGTCATATGTGGGCTGGGTTATGTTAAGCTCGAATCGTTTGCATTTTGGCAGGTAAATATGTCACTCGCTTCATAGTACATATAGGTAAATATGTCACTCGCTTCATAGTACATATAGGTAAATATGTACCATGAAGCGAGTGACAGCCGTTGTGGTGATTACCGTTGTGTGCTGCTCTTGACAATGTTAACGACTGTAGTTATCTTGAGGTTATCTTGAGATGATTTTGGGGCTTAGCGTCCCCGCGGCCCGGTCCTCGACCAGGCCTCCACCCTCTAGGAAGCAGCCCGTAGCAGCTGTCTAACTCCCAGGTACTTATTTACTGCTAGGTAACAGGGGCATGAGATTGAAAGAAACATTTTGCCCATTTGTCTCCGCCTCCACCGGGGATCGAACTCGGAACCTCAGGACTACGAATCCGAAGCGCTGTCCACTGACTTGTTAGGAGCATCCTTATTCCACTAATTTTGTTTACAGGTAGAATAATCAGGAGTAGGAAGAGAACCTTTCTTTGTTCTTCTGATTTTTATTTACATGTAAATGATTCAGTTGTATCGGTAGTGTAAACAGCCTCTACCCCTGCAGAGAGGCATGAGCCTATAGATCTCTCCTGTGTACACCCATGTACTCCTGTGTACACTATTCCTGTACAATCCCTCCCTCCCTTCCTCCTCGCACCAAACCTGTTACAACCCTTCCCCACCCAACGCTTTCTATTCCACGTTCCAAGTTTTTAGTTTTTCTATTACCGAGACCCCCAATTTAACTTCAGGCAAGTTTGTTATTAGCTGTGCTTCTCTTGGGCCTCCATAATATTGGGAGTGAGACGTGTTACAGGCGGCTCCTCCTGAAGGTGGAGAAGGATGGAGGAGGAGGAGAGAGGTCGAGGAGAAGAGAAATCGAGGAGGAGAGAGAGATATCCAGGAAGAGAGATATTTAAGGCACGAAAAGGATGAGGGAGATAGAGAACGAGAGAAGAAAGAGTACCAGACTGAAGGGAATCAAGGAACGAGGGAGAAGGAACTTGAGATAGTCCATAAGCAATGGAGGATGCAGAGGTTCCTTGCGACATGGGCTCCCCCCCCCCTGGGGATGATACCTGGGAGTAGGGGGGGGAGTGGAGTTGCTGGGGGGGGGGGGGTTAAGGATATGGGTGAAGGATGGGGGGGGGTTGTGGGTGTAGGCGAGATAGGGGGGTTGTGGGTGTAGGCGAGATAGGGGGGTTGTGGGTGTAGGCGAGATAGGGGGGTTGTGGGTGTAGGCGAGATAGGGGGGTGTGGGTGTAGGCGAGATAGGGGGGTTGTGGGTGTAGGCGAGATAGGGGGGTGTGGGTGTAGGCGAGATAGGGGGGTTGTGGGTGTAGGCGAGATAGGGGGGTTGTGGGTGTAGGCGAGATAGGGGGGTGTGGGTGTAGGCGAGATAGGGGGGTTGTGGGTGTAGGCGAGATAGGGGGGTTGTGGGTGTAGGCGAGATAGGGGGGTTGTGGGTGTAGGCGAGATAGGGGGGTTGTGGGTGTAGGCGAGATAGGGGGGTTGTGGGTGTAGGCGAGATAGGGGGTTGTGGGTGTAGGCGAGATAGGGGGGTTGTGGGTGTAGGCGAGATAGGGGGGTTGTGGGTGTAGGCGAGATAGGGGGGTTGTGGGTGTAGGCGAGATAGGGGGGTTGTGGGTGTAGGCGAGATAGGGGGGTTGTGGGTGTAGGCGAGATAGGGGGGTGTGGGTGTAGGCGAGATATGGGGGTTGTGGGTGTAGGCGAGATAGGGGGGTTGTGGGTGTAGGCGAGATAGGGGGGTTGTGGGTGTAGGCGAGATAGGGGGGTTGTGGGTGTAGGCGAGATAGGGGGGTTGTGGGTGTAGGCGAGATAGGGGGTTGTGGGTGTAGGCGAGATAGGGGGGTTGTGGGTGTAGGCGAGATAGGGGGGTGTGGGTGTAGGCGAGATAGGGGGGTTGTGGGTGTAGGCGAGATAGGGGGGTGTGGGTGTAGGCGAGATAGGGGGGTTGTGGGTGTAGGCGAGATAGGGGGGTTGTGGGTGTAGGCGAGATAGGGGGGTGTGGGTGTAGGCGAGATAGGGGGGTTGTGGGTGTAGGCGAGATAGGGGGGTTGTGGGTGTAGGCGAGATAGGGGGGTTGTGGGTGTAGGCGAGATAGGGGGGTTGTGGGTGTAGGCGAGATAGGGGGGTTGTGGGTGTAGGCGAGATAGGGGGGTTGTGGGTGTAGGCGAGATAGGGGGGTTGTGGGTGTAGGCGAGATAGGGGGGTTGTGGGTGTAGGCGAGATAGGGGGGTTGTGGGTGTAGGCGAGATAGGGGGGTTGTGGGTGTAGGCGAGATAGGGGGGTTGTGGGTGTAGGCGAGATAGGGGGGTGTGGGTGTAGGCGAGATATGGGGGTTGTGGGTGTAGGCGAGATAGGGGGTTGTGGGTGTAGGCGAGATAGGGGGGTTGTGGGTGTAGGCGAGATAGGGGGGTTGTGGGTGTAGGCGAGATAGGGGGGTTGTGGGTGTAGGCGAGATAGGGGGGTTGTGGGTGTAGGCGAGATAGGGGGGTTGTGGGTGTAGGCGAGATAGGGGGGGTGTGGGTGTAGGCGAGATAGGGGGGTTGTGGGTGTAGGCGAGATAGGGGGGTTGTGGGTGTAGGCGAGATAGGGGGGTTGTGGGTGTAGGCGAGATAGGGGGGTTGTGGGTGTAGGCGAGATAGGGGGGTTGTGGGTGTAGGCGAGATAGGGGGGTTGTGGGTGTAGGCGAGATAGGGGGGTTGTGGGTGTAGGCGAGATAGGGGGGTTGTGGGTGTGGTGTAAACAACACTGATGATCTACACCCACACACACACACACAGGTGTGATCACCTCAGGTGTATTGTTCTCTCCAGACATAGAAATGTGATTGTAAATGTAATCAAAGTGATTGTAAATGTGATCAATGGCATTGATTACATTTACAATCACATTGATCACATTGATTACGTTTACAGTCACATTGATCACGTTTACAATGTGATTGTAAATGTAATCAATGGGATTGTAAATGATCAATGGGATTGTAAATGATCAATGGGATTGTAAATGATCAATGGGATTGTAAATGATCAATGGGATTGTATTGTACAGCGAACACTTGGCACTTTTGTTCCATTCCCAATGCTTATTTTCATGTTAAACAACTTAAGTGTTTGTAAACGCCTCGAGGGGCTCCGCTAACCTGCGAAGGTCGTCAACCAACCTGTCCTCCTACATAGAACGTCGCTTTTCGCTCGTAGGCGTTACACAAGACTAAAAATCGTCGTACTAGAAAATGAAAGCGGGGCTGGCGACAGTGACGTACTGTTCCGTTTTCTGTTTTAGGTCCTCTGGTAGGTTAGGAGAGACCACTTTAAATTGGCCGTTTTCTTGACGTTAATAAACCTTAGGATGACGGACTATGTGGACTGTAGACGACATTTCGGTGTCCTTGAGCTGGAGTACAACACAGTCCCACATAAAGACACATCAAACACTTTATGTAGGGCATACGTAAATCTGTGTATCTATGTATTTACGTATGTAGGTTAGCTTAGCATTTTAAAAGCACCGAATCACCTTCTGTGGTTGAGTGTTCAATAAACCCTTGAACTATATGTTTAACACTTCTCTAACCCTGTCCATGGAGGACAGAAGAAAATGTATATATGCTGGTTAGCATTGTAAATGTGTGGCCACGTCTGTGGTAGAAAATAATAATAATAAAAAAAAAGTCCCACATACTCAGCATCTACCAGAATTTTGTGAAGGGAACTTAAGAAAACAAAGTGTACTTGAATCCATTTAATTTGGCAATACCGTCTGAGAAGGGCTTGAGAAACATCTTTGCATCAGTACTAAAGGCTTGGCATGTAGAAAACTATTCAATTAAGCATCAAAGAACCATTCTACAACTCCCCCTTTACACGCAACGTCCTATAAAACAGGATTGTGAAATAAAACTAGAGAGTCTGGAATACAACTCACAATACATCGCAAGTTTATCTCACATAAATTTCTACAAAATCAACAGTGGGTCTCTAGAATATGAACACGTTAAAAGGTGCTGTGTGTGTATGGACAGGGCAGTCGACATGTAGGTTCTCATACGAGATCATCCACTCATTTCCGTGAATTCATTCGTTTAGTGAGGAATACACTAGCGAGCCACCATTCTCTTTGATGAGGTTGGCAAGGGCAGGTGAAGCACTCCTGGAAACCTCTCCAAGGACCCGTTAGATGCAGAGGTTCCTGGGAACCTCTCCAAGGGCCCGTGAGATGCAGAGACTCCTGGAAACCTCTCCAAGGACCCGTTAGATGCAGAGGTTCCTGGGAACCTCTCCAAGGGCCCGTGAGATTCAAAGGCTCCTCTAAACCTCTACAAGAGCCCGTGAAGTCTAGAGGCTCCTGGAAACCTCTCCAAGGGACCGTGAGATGCAGAGGTTCCTGGAAACCTCTTTTTCCCTAGGAGATACAGAGAAACATTTCACACAATTGTCTCAAAAGTTCAGCATATGAAAATTCATGTCCCAAAAGATGTAACAAATATTAGAGAACAAATCACCCGCAAGCTACAAGGAACACTGCCCGGTAAAGAGTGCTCGGTAGTGTGTGCTCGGTAGTGTGTGCTCGGTAGTGTGTGCTCGGTAGTGTGTGCTCGGTAGTGTGTGCTCGGTAGTGTGTGCTCGGTAGGGAGTGCTCGGTAGTGTGTGCTCGGTAGTGTGTGCTCGGTAGTGTGTGCTCGGTAGGGAGTGCTCGGTAGGGAGTGCTCGGTAGTGTGTGCTCGGTAGTGTGTGCTCGGTAGGGAGTGCTCGGTAGGGAGTGCTCGGTAAAGTGTGCTTGGTGATAGTGCTCGAAGAACAGTGTTCAGAAAACAGTGCTCGGAGAACAGTGCTCCTGAGATCAGTGCTCGGAGAACAGTGCTAGAACACACACAAGTATACAACAATACATTACAAAACAGAAGAAAAACAAGTGTAACACAGAGAGAAACACAAATGTCGCTACACCTCATTTCCGTATTAAATTTACAAAATAATTGTCTGTAACATTATCATAATGTGACACAAATTACAGCAATTACAACAATTCAAATAATAATAATAATAATAATAATAATAATAATAATAATAGAGAATGACAAGAGGAAGCAGAAGGTAACGCTACATCTTAATATAGGTCGTTTAAGTAATATAAATTTACCATACACAGCATCCATTGCTTAACCTCGTTTTATATATATTTTTTCAGTGATTAACTGTAAGAACGTACGTATTCAAAGTCGGGGAAAATAGATTATTATTACATTATATATATATATATATATATATATATATATATATATATATATATATATATATATATATATATATATATATATATATATAATATATATATATATATATATATAATATATATATATATATATATGCGATAATTTGATGTAATGGAACAAGTCTTGGGGTTCACAAATGACAGATCGGATTAACTGCTCCCCCAAAAAAAAATTCGTGTGCAAAGAAACAGCCAAACTGTTTCGTTTGCCATTTGTTAATGAAACGGAATGAGCTTATGAAATCGTCTTTTCATAGCGCGTTTGTTGTTCCCACAACATCGCTCTCTCTCTCTCTCTCTCTCTCTCTCTCTCTCTCTCTCTCTCTCTCTCTCTCTCTCTCTCTCTCTCTCTCTCTCTCTCTCTCTCTCTCTCTCTCTCTCTCTCTCTCTCTCTCTCTCTCTCTCTCTCTCTCTCCCGAATCCTTGATTTCCAGCGGCTTGAACACACACAAACCACCAACTGCTGAATCAGGGAAGGCTGAGGGCTAAGCATCCAGCATTGAGATGGAATCTTCACTTCAAGATGCTGTGTGAGAGAGAGAGAGAGAGAGAGAGAGAGAGAGAGAGAGAGAGAGAGAGAGAGAGAGAGAGAGAGAGAGAGAGAGAGAGAGAGAGAGAGAGACGATATTGATCCCCTTGTGTCAGCTCTCATTAGAATTAATACTTGCATTTGAGTGTGCAAGTCTTAAGCAATTCCTCGGAAAGTGACAACTATTGCAACAGAATAAAATTTCTGAAATGAAAGATAAAAAAAATTTGAAAACTGCGTAAAAAGATGTGAAAATGATCAAGCATAAACCAGCACGATATAATTACATCAACCTCGACGGTCTGCCATTAGACCTGAACCGGTCATTTTCATATGTAAGTTTCTATAGCACCAGACTACCCCTTCATCCCCACATACACACACACATACCTTGGCTTCCTAGATCTAGGTGATACTACTCAGTCCCTTCTCTCCAAGACTTCTTGAATCTAGACTTCATTGCTAACACGACTCTCTCATCAGCGGCGTTACGGAAGCGAAATATTCTTCATCATCTACTGAACATAACAGGGTATCAGGAGCACCATTAGAGCAGTAGCCCACTACTCCTTGATGGGCACTGCAATGTGCTGTCCACTAAACTACCATCATTACCCTAACTCATTCCACTTCTCTAACTATATCCACTTCAACACTGCTCGAATCTCCCGCTATCGGTACTCTGACAAGTATACACAAATAGGTAACTATTACAATGTAATGAAAGCATCTCAACCTTCCGCTATCCTGGTAGTGTGTTTGAAATAGGATTCGCCCTATAAATATAACCATTCTTGCAAGATGTTCTGCCGACTGGAGAATACACGCTGCAGGCGTAATTTATTGAATAGGGTGAATTCCATCCCTTGTTACACCCTTCGTGCCACAAATGGTCACCATTGTATGCGAGCTTCTCTCTCTTCCTTACGTGGAGGAAGTTGTTAAGTTCGCCAGTGTGTGAGCCGGAGAAAGCACAGCCTAAGTATCCCCCTTTGAGAAGTGCTTTCTCTGCAAGTGAAAGCACTTTTCTCTTGCAAGGCTGACGCCTCTGCCTGGCGTCGGGTGAGGAGAGGAAACCACCTCTCCAGTGCCATTTTTTACGAGGAATTTATAGATTTGATTGAAATCTTTACGAGGATTTAGATGATTTTTAACCTTCAGCTCGTTGCTTGCTTGTCAGTTTACGAAATGCAATGACAAATGTATAAATAAAGTCAGATTTATTGGTCAAATAAACTGTTGTCTGTCGCCTGAGCCGTCCATCAGGTCGTTTGTATGCTGTCGTCGTTAGCAGTAGTGGAAGATAATTTAATATTGAGTAACTTTATGATAATCTTCCAGGAAAGTGAGATTTAAAAAATGGTGATTTATCAGATTGTTGTTGTATTGAATATTTTGTTTGGAAGTTTGTTTTGAAGTTTGAAATTTTTGAAATTTTGTTTGGAAGTTTGTTTTGAAGTTTTTTGTTTGGAAGTTATTTTGAAGTTGGAAGTTTTGCACGCCTATATGACGCCCAGACTCACGCCCGGTACAGCCACACCTGCTACACCTACACTCACCACACCTACACCCACTACAGCCACACCCACACCCATCACAGACACACCCACCATAGCCACGCCCATCCCACCTATACCCACCACATCTACACCCACCCCACCTACACCCACCACAACCATACCCACCCCACCTACACCCACCCCACCTACACTCACCCCATCTACACCCATCACAACCATACCCACAACACCTACACCCATCACCAACCATCCTACACCCATCAAACCAAGGACCTATGACGGAAACGAGTAAATTTCCTCAACGAATTAAAAATACACTGTAATACCATACTTTCACATACATTAACCATAATTAACATTCTCCACTAGTTTAGCGAAACACTGTCGCATTCCACTTTGTTAAGATGCGCTGTCAGGTGCTGAGGTTTCTAATACATTTTCAGAAGGTAGAGAACACCAACTAGGTAGTCAAAGGTTTTCCTGGTTCGGGGTCAATGACTATTAGGTCAGCGACTGACCTTTCGCCGGCTGCAACCCACGATAGTGGCTTAAATCAAGGGGTATCGATTTACTGTTAGATGAACAGTTGCATCAGATGTAAGGAAACGTGGACCAAACGTGTCGTCTTGTCTAGGAAACTGATTCTAAATCATTTGGGTGTGAGCCTATTGCGCAGACTACTGCACCACGGGCTATCATCCCCCCCCGACTCTCTGCAAAGAATACTGTTTGCTTTTCGTATTCATAGTTTTAAAGAATGTTTGTGCAAGGGTGGAGGGGAGGTGTGTGTGTGTGTGTGTGTGTGTGTGTGTGTGTGTGTGTGTGTGTGTGTGTGTGTGTGTGTGTGTGTGTGTATGTGTGTGTGTGTGTGTGTGTGTGTGGTGTGTGTGTGTGCATTCACCTAGTTGTGCTTGTGGGGTGTTGAGCTCTGGCTCTTTGTTCTCGCCTTTCAATTGTCAATCAACTGGTGTACAGATTTCTGGGCCTACTGGGCTCTATCATATCTACATTTGAAATTTCTGGTGTGTGTGTGTATATGTGTGTGTGTGTGTGTGTGCGTGTGTGTGTGTGTGTGTGTGTGTGTGTGTGTGTGTGTGTGTGTGTGTGTGTGTTCTGTATGTGTGCAACAAAATAGTGGTATATGTAAACATTAAGGTTTAGTATACATGAATTACGTCTATTATAGCAAGTATTCATTGAACATTATTATGCATATATGTGATTTTTTTATTTAGTTAATTTAACTCTTAGGTTATTTTAATATTGTCTAATTATTGAATTATTTTTACGTAGTGTGCTAGTGAAGATGTTCTTAAGTTGGTGGGTCTGGTAGTGGTGGGTCTGGTAGTGGTGGGTCTGGTAGTGGTGGGTCTGGTAGTGGTGGGTCTGGTAGTGGTGGGTCTGGTAGTGGTGGGTCTGGTAGTGGTGGGTCTGGTAGTGGTGGGCCTGGTAGTGGTGGGTCTGGTAGTGGTGGGTCTGGTAGTGGTGGGTCTGGTAGTGGTGGGTCTGGTAGTGGTGGGTCTGGTAGTGGTGGGCCTGGTAGTGGTGAGTCTGGTAGTGGTGGGTCTGGTAGTGGTGGGTCTGGTAGTGGTGGGTCTGGTAGTGGTGGGTCTGGTAGTGGTGGGACTGGTAGTGGTGGGACTGGTAGTGGTGGCTCTGGTAGTGGTGGGTCTGGTAGTGGTGGTCTGGTATTGGTGGGTCTGGTAGTGGTGGTTCTGGTAGTGGTGGCTCTGGTAGTGGTGGGCCTGGTAGTGGTGGGTCTGGTAGTGGTGGGCCTGGGAGTGGTGGGTCTGGTAGTGGTGGGTCTGGTAGTGGTGGGCCTGGGAGTGGTGGGTCTGGTAGTGGTGGGCCTGGTAGTGGTGGGCCTGGTAGTGGTGGGTCTGGTAGTAGTGAGCCTGGTAGTGGTGGGCCTAGTAGTGGTGGGTCTGGTAGTGGTGAGTCTGGTAGTGGTGGGTCTGGTAGTGGTGGGTCTGGTAGTGGTGGGCCTAGTAGTGGTGGGTCTGGTAGTGGTGGGTCTGGTAGTGGTGGGTCTGGTAGTGGTGGGCCTGGTAGTGGTGGGTCTGGTAGTGGTGGGTCTGGTAGTGGTGGGCCTGGTAGTGGTGGGTCTGGTAGTGGTGAGCCTGGTAGTGGTGGGCCTAGTAGTGGTGGGTCTGGTAGTGGTGAGCCTGGTAGTGATGGGCCTAGTAGTGGTGGGTCTGATAGTGATGGGTCTGGGGGGGGGGTCGTGGGTATAAGGGTGACTGGTTGGGACTGAGGGTTACTGTGGCGATAGTGAGTGTGAGGATAGTGAGTGTGGCGATAGTGAGTGTGAGGATAGTTAGTGTGGCGATAGTGAGTGTGAGGATAGTGAGTGTGGCGATAGTGAGTGTGAGGATAGTGAGTGTGGCGATAGTGAGTGTGAGGATAGTGAGTGTGGCGATAGTGTGAGGATAGTGAGTGTGGCGATAGTGAGTGTGAGGATAGTGAGTGTGGCGATAGTGAGTGTGAGGATAGTGAGTGTGGCGACAGTGAGTGTGAGGATAGTGAGTGTGGCGATAGTGAATGTGAAGAAGAGTCTGCTGCCAGCAGGCAGCTCCTGCACCTCACCATTCTGCCTCACTACAAAACTTCCCTCTTGACCTCCACACGTGAAGCCAAGACTCAGCAAGCCACCAGGAAAACTTTAAAAGGCTTCTCACCACTTTGAATTCCACGTAAAAGGCAGCAAAAGATTTCTTTGCCATCAGCACTACGCCGAATGGCTGGCCAGATATATACAAAAATGGGGCCTTTTATGCTCTTTAGCAACAGGAAAAGGGAACCCAAGCTATTAAATAACTTCATGTTGCATGGATGAACATGCCTAATAATTTCTTCAGCATTTTATGGTTTTATTTGACGGGTCAGCTGACCACTTGGTGTGGTCGGTACAGAGACGGATTAGATTCTTCCAGACTGGTGTTCGATCTCTGATTGTCCAAGTAGTTGGGCACAGTTCCTTCACTCCTGTCTCCAATCTCAACTCCAATCATGTGTTCTCCTATGCCTTCTAAGTGCTATGTCATCATACTAGCTTTTGATAATAACTATCCTGTTAATTACCTAACCTCTAATTACGTCCAATTCCTCAAGCACACAATGAAGTTGTTCCTCTTGAAGAGGTCAAAGTATTAATACGTAAAATACAAAATAATCACCGATACTTTCCCCCCTGTATGCTAATACATTTGTGCGATCATTTTATGTATATTTCATTAAAAACAAGAGTAAAACCTGTCAACAGTATACACAAACATGAACGAGCGAAGAAGCAAAAGGGTAGGTGTGCTTTACAATATTTTTACCTGAAAAATTACAAGAAACTAGATTTGTATTTACATGTTTATCTCCAAATGGCAATGCTATATACATGCTCTGCATATACATATGTATATATATATTTTTACATATATATATGTTACAACTGTTTACATGACTCAGTCCCCCAAAGTGACATGCCCTTGCAAGTGGCAAGAAAGACAGGGTTAAGTAAGCTCTGGGTAGGCATCTACTTACATGGTTTACTTGTCTAAAGTAGGTCCAAAAAACCTGTTCTATACCACAAAAAAACATGGTGATCCTATACTCTAAAACTTGAAAACGGAGATGCTGTGTTTGGAATACCAAAAGACATTTCTATCAGTGAGTTTTCTATATATATAAAAACCAATCGGCTGAAAAGACACTTTGTTTAATGTTAAACATGTGTCTTGCTTTATTTTTTTTTTTAGTAGAAACAATCACAAAATGACACTTTGGGATTTTGTTCTATAATACACTCCCCCTCATATATTACAGAGACATGGAACAAAATGTCATTTTGTTTTTAGTTGTACAATTCACATATTGGTGCCTTTGTGAGACATTGCGGACAACACTGTCAAAACCAAAGCCTCAACGGTCATGAAGTCAAGATTAATCCAAGGATTTGGATTCCCCCTTTGGAAATCCTTTTGGATTTGTAATTCATGTTTAAAAATTGTACTACACACACACACACAGGTAGCTGACAGTTTTGGACCGTTTAAACAACAAATCTGTATTATTTACAAGTTTAATATTCTATCAGTGCTTCAGCCTTGAGTCTTTCACAGAAATATTTATAAAGAGATCCATTAGCAGTCACAATAACGTGGCTGAAGTATGTTGACCAGACCACACACTAGAAGTTGAAGGGACGACGACGTTTCGGTCCGTCCTGGACCATTCTCAAGTCGATTGGGACTAAATTAGACCATTCGATTGTGACCAAATTAGAGACCCATTAGACTAAACATTCGGTTCCACAGACAAGTCACACAACGTTTCCAAACACCTTTCCTTCATGGATTGTCACTCGTTAAAATTACGTTCTATGAACGCACCAAAATTACGTTTGGTGCGTTCTATGACGCACCAAATTAAACAATAGTTCTACGCATCGGAAGTGATATTAATCCTTTATCACTGCAAGAAAGACTTACCAAATACAGTTACCATTGCAGACATGCTTAGTCCAGTTTGTAACTGTGACAAGTCGTAATTTAGGTGTTTTTAACCTGTAAAACCCGTTAAGTAATGTCCGCATCAAGCACAAGACTTGTTTAATCCATCACTTAAGTGTTATTAATTCTTCACAATCCCACAGGATCGTCGTTTCTGCAAAAACATTTCTGATGATTTGTATATTTTCAAGACGACTTTCGTGTCATTTGTGTGGGTTGAATAACTAAAGTTCAGCCACGTTGTTGTGGCTTGTTGTCTGTAAGATCGATATTTATTGTCAACCTGGGAATGCACTCATAATCTGTGGTGACTGACTCGTAATCACTGTACTCAATGCCCTTCATTAGGCATGAAACACGGCGCTAATTCTCATGTGGAGAGATGTCACGAACACATTATTCAGCTACGGTATGACGTCTCAAGCACAATTTTTTGTTCCACGAATAGAACCAAATTCCTAAGGTACAATATGAACCTCCTCTCTTTCTGCCTCCTGAGGCTCCAGTACCCATCTCCTGGACGAACCTCTGGAGTGGCTGGAATGGTACTTCCGCTCATTTTTCTTCATCCTTCTCTGCTTCCTTGTCCTGTTCCTCTTCACTCCCCGTGAGTCTTCTTGCCGTGCGGGAGGTGAAGGCAGCAGAGGAAGAGAGAGAGGAGAAAGGAGAGGAGGAGAACAACGGGTGAGGACCTAAGATAGAGACTGCGTCACGTGAACCAACAGGCCCGACGACCGGCCAGGTTGTCCGGGTGGATGTGGTCCTCGTATGGCTGAGTGGAACGGAGCTCGTCCCTCACCTGTAGGAGATATGAACCTGGTTACTTCGGAGTCGTCATGAAGGTGTGGGTGAAGTACCAGAGAGAGAGAGAGACGTGGGAGTACTGTGGGAGGCTGCAGGTATGTTTGTGTTTGTGTGTGTGTGTGGAGGGTGAGGGTGTATGCTTGGGGTGGTGGTTTAGGTTTGTGTGTGTGTGGAGGGTGAGGGTGTATGCTTGGGGTGGTGGTTTAGGTTTGTGTGTGTGTGGAGGGTGAGGGTGTATGCTTGGGGTGGTGGTTTAGGTTTGTGTGTGTGTGTATACTCTTGTTCACCTAGTTGTTCTTGCGGGGCGTTGAGCTTCTTGGATATCAAGGATAAGAACGTTAAGCGGAAAATCAGTAAAAATGTGCCTAAAACACTATATATCTTTTAAAAATATCAAACCCAAACACACAAGTTTTTATTTTTAGTACCTAACGAAGACCTCCCCCCACCGCCCCCCACCCCAAAAAAAAATCAGATCGTCGACCACCCTGATTATTATTGTTAGATAACAAATCCGTCAAAACAATCCATGAACATCTGAGTGATGTTCTGATCAACGATGTTGCCAAAATAGTGTAATTTCTCCAAATTTAATTCTTGCCAAACTTGAATGGCATCCCTTAAAAATGTGAACTTGCATAGACTTCCTCTTTCTCCTACAGTTCAGACCACGAAGCCTCATTTCTAATATTTCTTGCTGTCAAAGTTATCAGAATTTCGTAACAAATGGAATTCTTGCGTTTCGACTCACTTTTTCCAGGATAATGTGGAGGACAAAATCCATAACAAATGGACTTCTTGCGTTCTCAATCTTTTGTGGAATTAAATTTTTTACGTTGAGTTGAAGACAGTTTTCTTGGTCGCTCTGAGTGACAGTAGAGGCATTGAACAGAGCTTCCTGTGCCTCAGGGAAAACAACATGGGTCTTTACAACACTACTGATAAATACAGCTTAAGAAACAATACCAGCAAATTTCTTGCAACACAATTACAGCAAAAATCATCACGCGCAATTACAGCGAATATCTTGGGCGTACAAATGCAGTAAAATGACTTACCTGTAGTCAGCCAGAGACTTACCTGTAGTCAGCCAGAGACTTACCTGTAGCAAGTCAGAGACTCACTTGTAGCAAGCCAGAGACTCACCTGTAGCAAGCCAGAGACTTACCTGTAGCCAACCAGTGACTCACCTGTAGCAAGCCAGAGACTCACTTGTAGCCAGCTAGAGACTTACCTGTAGCAAGCCAGAGACTCACCTGTAGCAAGCCAGAGACTCACTTGTAGCAAGCCAGAGACTCACTTGTAGCAAGTCAGAGACTCACTTGTAGCAAGCCAGAGACTCACTTGTAGCAAGTCAGAGACTCACTTGTAGCCAGCCAGAGATTCACTTGTAGCACAACCAGAGACTCACCTGTAGCAAGTCAGAGACTCACTTGCAGCTAGCCAAAGACTCATCTGTAGCAAGCTTGAGACTCACTTGTAGCAAGCCAGAGACTCACCTGTAGCAAGCCAGAGACTTACCTGTAGCCAACCAGTGACTCACCTGTAGCAAGCCTGAGACTCACTTGTAGCAAGCCAGAGACTCACCTGTAGCAAGCCAGAGACTTACCTGTAGCCAACCAGTGACTCACCTGTAGCAAGCCAGAGACTTACCTGTAGCCAACCAGTGACTCACCTGTAGCAAGCCAGAGACTTACCTGTAGCCAACCAGTGACTCACCTGTAGCAAGCCTGAGACTCACTTGTAGCAAGCCAGAAACGTCCCTGTGAGCAGTCAGAAGTTAACCATCGGTTTACGTGTCGTGAGAAAGTGTTCCACTCTTTGGTCATTGCCTCCTGCTAATGAGTTTAGAGTTTTAGTGTATTGTGTTGTTTTCTGGGAGTGTCAGCACCAGGGGCGGGTCACTTACCTGGCCGCGGCCTCTCGCCAATATCTCATCAAGGTCTTCCGGTAAAAAAAACTTGCCCATGTGGTGTGCTGCCCTCTGGTGGGTGTGGGCGTGGGTGTGGGCGTGGCTGTGGGCGTGGGTGTGTGTGTACTTACCTCATACTCACCTAATTGTGCTTGAGGGGGTTGAGCTCTGGCTCTTTGGTCCCGCCTCTCAACCGTCAATCAACTGGTGTACAGATTCCTGAGCCTATTGGGCTCTGTCATATCTACATTTAAAAAAGAACATTGTGTGTGTGTGTGTGTGTGTGTGTGTGTGTTGTGGTGTGTGTGTGTGTGTGTGTGTGTGTGTGTGTGTGTGTGTGTGTGTGTGTGAGTGTGTGTGTGTGTGTTCCAGAGATTTAAAGTACACACACACACATATATTATTTCGACTGTTTACGTATGAGTAAATAGGTAACCGGAAGCTACGCAACGGTTCTGGCTTGCTTGCTTGGCCGTGACTCACCTGCTCGGCCGTGACTCACCTGCTCGGCCGTGACCCACCTGCTCGGCCGTGACTCACCTGCTTGGCCGTGACCCACCTGCTCGGCCGAGACTCACCTGCTCGGCCCGCTGTAGGACTCTCAAGAAGTTCCCACCAGCCAGCTTCGCCAGGTCGTCCTCAGTCCAGCGCGAGTCCTTGAGGACCTCCGCCAGCAGCATAGGATACTTGCTGACGTCTTCTAGACCCACCGGAGTC